AGGGATTGCATTAAGTGCAGAGAGATACAAATCGTGAGCAACAAAACAAAGGAGTAGGTAAAATAAACCTTTAACACTAACCTCTAACGGCAAAACAAAGAACTATAGGTAAGACATCTATACTAAGATAGCACAAATGGATTACAAAGTAGATACCTAGGCGGTTTTCCTAAGCCAAAGTAACCGTTTTTAAAGAAATTTTTCGAAACAAAGAAATTCCCATTATGTGAGTGTTTCCGTAGAACCGTAGTAACGCCTTCATTATTGGTACGATGCTATTAGGAAACATTTTTAAGAGACTAACTAGAGTAAAGCTATAAGATCATTACCAATTTCATCTTTGTACAATACGGAGCTAGAAATTGCTTAGATATTTTTTTACAAACAAAATGGTTTGATTATCACACGCTGCTGAATTCAAAGGATAAATGAAAAAACACAGTGTGCCTTTTCGCCATCAAATATTTAGTACATATTTTCTTCCAAAAATAAGACAGCACCGAAAACGAATTTAGTTGCATCGATTTGTACCCTTAAAGTATTTTATTGGCCTGTAGATTTGTTACGGCATCAAAAGATTAGGGTTTATACGTAAATGACCACGTCGCCATAAAACTAACATTAAAAGCAATTATAATGGTTTATCGCTAACCATGAATAACAAAAAGGTCGGTTAAAGCTAAGGAACAAAGGAAAAAAGAAAAATTTCTCAATGGACTAGAATTGTCGATGATGATTCCATAAATGTGATTTAGATAAACTGCAGATGCTTTAAAAGATAATATTTTTCTTGTACATAAAATAGGCTTATTTTATGTAGGTTACACAATATCGAAGAGATAAGAAATATATAATATAAGTAGCGTTTAATTCGAAGGGATGGAACAGAGTTTTTCTATCGTGGAAAATTACTTTGCTTTTGGATACTATCATTTACTCTACCCATATTTAACTTAACTTGATGACAAAATCACAGTTAAATAATGTCTGATTTCTGTTTTAATATCCATCAAAACATGTGCTCAAGTACCAAAAGCTTTCGCTGAAAATTTTAACTTTGAACTGTAAGATTTGTGGATTATTGGTTGTAGTGATTAGTTTTGTCATGTTTCCATGTCTCACTGCACAATTATATGGAGACTAAAATAAAGTCAGTGTATACTTCGCTAGCGATTTGGACGATGACTGGGCGAACAAATCAAACTTACTGGAATTTTAAATGATCGCCCAAAGTAGCATAGAAACGCATCGCATAAAATAGTTTTCTTAATAAACACATGCACTCACGTTCAAAACTGCGCCTCTCTTGTCTATGCGACGTGTTATTAGATCTACAGGCAACCGGTAAAAAGGTTAAAGGCAATTAATTCGTGCTTTTGTTAACTGTCAAAACCCGATTTTAGAAATTACTGATAAATTATTCCAGCGAATTAACAAAATATCAACTATTAAAGTTTGAGAAACCTGAAGCACGGTTTGCTCCAGATTCAAACTGTCATACATCTTCCGAAATTGATTTTCAACGAGTCACCAAATTTTATCTGGCGATACAAAGAGTCCGATTGTAATGTATGTACATTTATTGTACAATGCGTTCCACCATCCAATTTTCCTAATTTCTGAAAGCTTTGCCGAATGTCAATCAAAGTGTTCTTTTTTCGATAAAGTGGCCGTGGGAGTCATAACATAGCCGCCGGCGCGCTTTAGTTTTTCTAAAAAAATTCCAAAAACGGACAATTTTTGAGCAAAAAAGGTTATAATAGCGAAACCGCTAAAATGAAGGGTGTAATGTTACATAAAAAAAGTTCTTTTTGAGTATTTTCCAAATCTGCAACAAATATGGGGAGTTCCATTTAAAAGTTAGTAAGTAAGGTTGACGAGTATTCATTTTAATTTTCTACAGTGTAATTCAAAATTTCAAAACTTAGTTATACGAAAGGAAGTTTCAAATCCCTTTCTATTTCAGGTTTCTGCATGAGTTGGCTGCAAACCGATTTGCTAGGTAGGTTTGATAGAAGGGTTGCGAGATGATCAGTAGGGAAATTCCTGGAATAAAATGAGTAGAAAATTACGAGGAATAACAGAGGTTTTAAACATAATCCTATACAGGAAATGAGGTAAAATATACAGTAAGGCTTTGTAACGGTTAGTTTTGGTTTTAAGTGGGGGGGTATGATTTTTGTGCGCAGAGTATAAATTTTGGTTTGCTTTGTCTTCGCTCGCTTTCGGAATTTACATGACTCGAAATCTTTCTGCTAAAAGCAAGATTGCGATTTTGTAATTTGCTTATCACCTAAAGTTTTTGCGTGATTGGAATTGGTTAAAAATCGAAACGTCCCTTTGGTTTAGCTTGCTGAAAGCATATTGAGGAACGTCTTGATGCCGTTTGCGAGATTGGATTAATTTTATGCCATCGATTTGGGGCCACGCGGTAGATATTCTTTTGGTTACAGAGATTTGCAACTAGACGTAAATGTAAATACGGGGCGGTCCAAAAGTTCCTCTTCTATGTAAAAAATTCATGTCTTTGTTAATTGTTAAAACTTTTGAAATCGTCCAATTATTTTAGGAAAACGTCATCATATCAAAAAATGGTGATAATGAATAGCCGCGGCGGCTATTCCCAGATCTGTCGGTTCCTGATTTCTTCCTATGAAAAAATCTTGTAGCACAATACAAACCCATTCCCGAACAATCTACATCAACAAATCGTGGACTTTGGAGGAGTTTAGAAACAATATTCGAGCAGAGATTGCCAAAATTACACCGGCAACACTTCAAAAAGTAATGCAAAACGTTATGAAAAAATCCAGTGCGTGGCCACTTGCCCGATACAATTTTCCCAACCTAATGTAGAAAATCTCCTTGAAATGAATACTCTCATTTTCAATTTACTTCATTCGTTTCTATTTTTTTTGCTCAAAAATTTGATTTAAAGATTTGTATAGGAAAGGGACTTTTGGACCACCCAGTAGGTACTTGGAGAGACGTGACCTAATTGTTCAACAACATCGACGTGTGCCTCACTTCATTTCCCTTGGCGCGCAAGATAAAAGCTTGGGAAGTCCTGGTGAGCATTGTGGCACGATCCCAGGGACTTAGCTCAGGGCCGGCTCAACACGCATTGCTCGAGCAAAATTCCTGGTGCCTTCCCCGTGGTATTATGTGTCGCGATCTTCAAGAGGTAGACGAAACTGCAGGGAGGCTCACAGAGTTGGTCCGAGTCAAGTATGCCTGAAACGGAGGATCCTTACTGCTCCACATGCTGAAAAAGGTAGTACACACATTGAGGCGTCAAGCAAAGTATGGATTACGGCAGGGTTTTATCGAATCTAGAATATCTGCTAACCCCTGGGGGTACGATACCGCATATCCTCTCAAGAACGATTCAGGAAATGATTAGATGAGTATGTCCAACATACAGAATACATTTATTTCTCCTACCTTTACTTTCTTCCTTTCTCTGGTGTACTAAATAAGTTTGTCAAATTATGAATAGCGATGAAAAAGTGAACCAATCTCATAATGTAGAATTACCCTAAGCTATTTTTAATAACTAAATTTATGGCTTTTCGTTGCAGATATTACAGCAAGGCGTAATCAATAAAATAAACAAGGCTAAAATAATTCCGTCCAAACCACAAGCCAAACAATATAAATTAAATCGGCAAACAAATTTGACTACCACCTCCAAACTGTAGTTTAAAAAACCACGATTGATCAAATTATTCGTGGTTAAAGCGTATTTACGCTCATATTTACGTTATGATTGATTACATTCGAAATATGGCGTAATATGGTAACTAACTTTTTTTTAGTATTAAAGGACTTAGGAAATCATAAAAATTATAGGCTTGCTATACAACATTGATTAATCGACCAGGAGGGGAATTAGGTGTAGGAAATGGCAATTAGTTTCTTATTGTAGCAAGTAGTACATGTTCATGTTTATGATAAGTCAATTAATCAGAACATATCTATCTCGGAAGCAATTCCACAAATGACAACGTACAAAACTTCAATCGGAAAAACCTTGGAAACTTTGTAATTTCTACCTTTTTAAACTAACTTAGAAATAACTGACTCTCTACAAATTGACAATTGCAATCACTGTTTAACTATAATGTACAGTTACGCTAATTACAAATAAATTAGGGAAGCGATCGACAAATTTACGCTGAAACGTAATCGTCTGCAAAGGATTTCCAAAGAAGCGCATTTCCATAGTAACAGATACTTTTTCCAAATGAAATGAAAAATTGGCAACCATTCCGATCCAAGGGGTAAGGGTATACCTTCTTAAGTTCCCAGTCACTGCGGGCCATCTGCGTTAAAAATGAAACTTCCGTTCTTAAATATGCTCAAAGAATTTTTAGAGGGTGGGAAACGTTGTATTGAAAATAAAATGTAGTTTTTTTTTAAATAAAATGACGTATTCCCTAAGGGTCGAGTTTTCATGTTACTGTTAACTTAATCTGACTCCGTGGGACAGTTAGTAGGCACTGGCATATTGTATACTAGTGCTGGGTACGGGCCCTAAATCTTCTAATATGAGATTTTCCTTATTTAATTTTTTCTGCAGTAAACATAAAGAGGCGATTTTTCTGCTTGCTCCATTTTACCCTCGTATGGCGAGAAATAAGAATTCAATTAAATACGTTACATTCCAAAAGGCAGTCCTACTTGTAAACGTCTATGTAGCTCAGTGGTAGAGCGTTGGGATACATAGTCCGAGGTCGTATGTTCGAACCTGGACTCAGGTAAGAATTTTTCATCTGTGACAGGGATGGGAATTTCCTTAGATCAGTTTCGAGCATTATTCCAGCTAATTTCTAAGGTAATTACGGTAATAGTATAGAACAACTTAAGACCTTCTGTAGGGGCACCTCCAAAAAGCATTATGCGGGTCACTTTGTAATTGGGCACAGGCCTGTTGAGGGCCCAGAACAAAAGAGGGATAATATATAAATTTAAAAAAATAAAAAAAGTAGAGTTTTTACCTTCCTTTCCCACTTAAGAGAGTTGAGAGTTTCTGTGTAGGTACATGTGACAAACGTGGAATCAAGAAAAGGTCTATTGGTATGCCCAGGTGTCCATTTTTCGCGTATCGCCGAACCTGAAAAAAAAACCATTCGGATAACTCAATTTTGTAGACATCCCTTTTGAAAGTTATTAAATATTGTTAGTAAAACATAATAGAAATCCATAGTGTGTACGAAAGTATAAATGGATAGCCATAACAAACGTCACAGTTTAAACCGCCCATTTTTATTAGTTTTCTCGTAAATAAATAAAAAAAAGGAAATTGGAGTTTTATTCAATTATTATAAATACTAACCAAAAGTGCTTTCATTTTGTCATTCGGGTTTAAATTTAGTAACTTTGTCCCTTGCCGCTTCTTGGAGACTGGTTAGATCAAAAGCCGTCTATGTGCGATAACACAATCTAGCGAGTAACAAGCAACGGCATCCAGAATGAGGAAGGCAATGGAAAACTACATCATTAAAGGCTTTCCCTTGTAAAGAAACAAAGAAAACATACATTGTTCCCGAAAGAAATATTCTGGATTTATTTCCCAATTCTAGTTAAACTTAAAAAATATTCCTGCTGGCCAGATAATTAAACTTATCTTCGCAAACAATGAAACCAGTAATTCTAAACAAGCATTCCGGCGCGAGACGATATGGCGCGATAGCAAAAAGGCGCGAAGACAAGATGGCGCGTACCATTTAGGCATGGGAACCATTTGGCACGGGACAAAAGGGCGGGAGCGCTATTAGCGCGCGAAGTCATATGGCGCGAGCTGCTATGGGTACGTTATAGCTTCAGCGTTCCCTAAAACGCAACAAAATTTTATAGAATAAATTATTTTTGTAAACCTTAGAGCCTTTTTTGTAGCACATCGTTGTTTCTCAAACGGAATGTTTTACGTGCAGTGTTGTTTTTCCAGTAATGTAATAAAAATAATTTAAAAAAATCTTAATTCCGTCGATTTTTCTTAAAACGATTTTTAATTGATTTGGGTTTTGCCCTTCCACTGTCGGTTACTGTACTCGCCGGCCCGCAGCCCTATGTTAATTTTCATACAAAATTTTTCGCTTCTTAGTGTCCAACTGTTTGGCGCCCTATTGCGTTCGCATCCTAATAACCCACACTCTCTTGTCCTCGCGTCCTAACCGTTGCGCCCTAATGTCCGGCTTCGTCCATTAACGAATGGAGAACTTAAGATTTATGTTGAAATTCAGTTCTTAATGTTGGTACATTAGGTGCTTTGTTTTAATTGTTTAATTTTGCGATTCCACCATCGGTATTTATGATGCAGACTAAACTCAAATTTTCGCAAAATTATAACCACCTTATTTGTTAGTTTACCGCGAGTCAATTCGATACTTTACTATTTCCACGCACACTAGCTTCTTTAACAATCACCATGTAAGAAGCGTACTAAAAAAAAAGAAAACCTAAGAAGAGAAATGGTTAAAAAAGATATGGGTCTAATAGGAGTGAATGAGGTGAGGTGGGAAGGTAAAGGAGAGATAATCCTGAATGATCGCACATATTATTTTGTGGAGAGACAAGAGAGAGAACTGAGTGGGGTTTATTGTAAATAAGAGAATAAACGCTTGTACTTGTACTAGTACAGTAATATATGGATGTGATAGAGAAAGTGCAGTAAAGGTAGAAGTACAAAAGGTAGTCATTCAGGTATATATGCCCACCATAGATCATGAGAAAAGGTTTAGGAAGTGTGTGACCAGATTAACGAAATCATAAAGGAGGAGGTAAGGGTTTCTGCCACATGTGTTGGGAAAAGAACTCAAGAGATGATTGATAATATGAAAGAACGAAGAAAATACGAAAGGCAAAACAACGAAGACGGAAAGAGACATCAGGCAATGGCTAGATGACTTCCTGAAGACTGAAATGATTCCACTGGCAAAGAGAGTGGTAGTAAAGAAATGCGGAGAGCACCTTATTATAAGCCTGTTAGTGCAGGCCGCGAAAACCTTATTGAGGGTTATCAATATAAGAATGTAAAGGGTGGCAGACAAGCAGTCCGCATTCTGTAGGGGGGTTGGAACTAGGGGTGCAATAAGTGTTGCGAGATAGAGGCAACAGGAAAAAGGGAAAGAAGTGAAAGGGGTTGATTGGAAAGAGAGGAGATTGATGAGCAGGTTATGTCTCAAGCAGAAGGTGAGTATGAGAACAGGAAATAGTAGATCAGAATTGTTTGAAATTGGAAGATGAGTGAGGTAGGGCTGTTGTTTGTCCCCAACCTGTTTAAGATTTACTTGGATGAAATGATACTGGATTGAAGGTAGAAGGTGGAAAAATAAACTGTTTCATATTTGCAGGCAATAAGATCCTTTGGCTGAAAGTGTCCATCACCTGAGTAGAATGCTGAAACATATTCGACAACAACAAGAAGCAAATTAATAAAAAGAAATCGAAGGTAATGAAGATCGTGAAAACGGAAAGTTGGAACCGAAGTAACGGAGGAATGGCAGAAATGTACAAAATCAAGAATAGGGATTGCAAAGAGGCGTTTGGGCAGAAAAAGATTTTTAAAAATAAATTTAAAAACGCGACTTTCTATGTATTTTTCAAAATCTCCTCCCTTCGGAAAGCGGGGGACTGAAGTGAATTGTCAATAAATTGTCGTCAGAAAGTTCGCACAGTTGCAAGAACTAATCGATCAACGGACAAAATGTAACACGCCACCCTCTGACTCCCTGAAAAGCTTAACAATAAAAGGATGAGAAATGTAAATGAATTGGAACGTTCAATACGGTGGCAAAGTTTCACATTATTCTCACATGATATTTTCGCTGAACAAGAACTTATTACGTTAAATATTCCTGTGGCTAAACGAATTTTCCACAATTTTTGTCTCTAATACTCAATTCTTAGAAAAGGAACATTAAAATACACTCTTACTAATGGTTTTCAGTACCTAAGCGGTAATGATACGCTATCCTTCATAGGCCATTTTCATACGTTTATAATTTGTCGCAAGAAAGTGGCTCTTTGCATGATGGGTAGGTAACCTGCAATTTACTGCAATTGGTAATGTAGTGGTTGTGGTTAATAATAATACCTATAGCCTTCAAATCATACGACATCGGTATCATTGCCTACGGAAATCGCTATCTAACTATCAACAAGTAATTTCCTGTATCAAATTTTACAAGTGCTCGCAATAATTGAAGTTGATAAAAATCCAGATACGTTTACATTAAACTCGCTGGTCCCGACAAGTGCTAGGAATTTACGTCCAAAACGCTTTATATATAGCACATTTTTTTTTTTGTAAGGATAACATATTATACACGATTCACATACATGATTATAGCATTACATTATTTGCAATACCGCTAGCAAAAGTAAAATATTTATGTACTTTAAAGCAAGGAGATTGTTAATTTACGAGCATTGTTCAATGGAAACACGTTCTTCTAGATTTTCACTAAAGCAAAGGTAGTGCTAGATTCTCTAGGCCCATGGCACATTTTTTTATAAAGCCCTCAACTTTCCCATTGTCCTTCATAATTTAAAAAATGGTTGACAACCCTAGTAAAGCGAGAACCAGTGTCGCACTCACGTAGTGTACAAGATCCTGGATTGCTTCTTTTCGGGGGTGATTAGATGGGTGTAGGTATAGAATAAAGATTTTTCGGGTGTAGGCACCACGTTATGCGAATACCTGACTTGGGTGTCTACCTAGGTGTCTACTGTGTAATTTGTTTAATTAAAATGTGTGGTTATCCTGACGTTCTGTCTCGCGGTTCTTTTTTGTTTTTTGAGTCATCGGTCCGTTAATTTTACCATTGAATAAAAAATTAAGATTTTACATAATCATTCATTGAATCTAAGCGTACTGTGTACATAATATGTCCACGGTGGTGATAGAGGGAAATGAAAAATATAAAATTATCAATTTTAGAATGAAAAATGTTTATTACAAAAGTTTCTTTGTAATGAATATGGAATAATCTGCCAGTTCCAAAATAACTATACGGGGCCAGGAAAAAAAGTTATAGAACCTTACCTCATTTTTTAAATGGAACACAAGCCTTGATCTAAAAAGTATGTTTTTTAATACAATACATCAGAGATGATACACAAAAAAGATTGAAGTGGTTCAACAAAATCAAAAAAGATTCCAAAACATTTAAAAAATTGAAAAACGAAGTTAAAAAAAATACATTTCAAGAATAGTTTTGAGTCCATTTAAATTTTTGAATCTTTTTGAAGCTTGAACTTTTTAGTGTATCACTTTTGGAAAAAAATTTAATATACTTGGATTAAAATATACAATCTGTTCCATTTAAAAAATGGTATAGGGTCCAATAACTTTTTTACCTTATTTTGAAAACAGCACATTATTCAACAATCACTATAAGAAAAGTTTTGTAATAAACATTTCTCTGTATCTATTTTAACTGATAAAATACACGGTCATTCAGAAATTAAATATTTTCAAATTTTGATTTTACAATTTTAAGTTTGCCCAAGAAAGAGCACATGACATTAATTTTCTGATAGCACCGATAAAAATGGGACATCCTGTGCAATAATATCCAACTACTTGTCTCCACCGTCTCCACATTTTCTTTTTCAGCTTCAACTCAACTGTACCACATAGGATTTATGGTATAATTTTATACATTTAAGGTGTTTATAATTGATTTTAAATTTTGTCACTTGTGTTTAAAAACCCCTTAAGTTGAGAGTCTTGTGTAACTTGGACAAGCCGAGTGTGATTTAAAAATCATTTTTGTGGTCTGTAAAATGACGGTACGTACTAACTTTTAAAAGGAATCATGAGCCAAATTGCAAAAAATGTGTTTATGGCGCCATATATTAAATATACATTCTAAATTATGCAAAAGACATCAAACACCTGTTGTGGAACTATCTATTAATAGGGTGAAGATCCAAACAACAAATACTGTAAAGGCCTAGTCCAGCTCTAAAATAATATATTAAAACCGGGGTTGAAAGGGTTGGAAAGTGGTGTTTTGCAAATTGTGGCAAAACTATTAATTTTAGACGAAAATGTTAAATATAAAAGTTATAGAGATTAAAAAAATGAGCAACTTTTGTATCTACACT